TTTTGAAGAATGACCAACAGAGTGGGGAAAGAGACGTTAATCAGGTGCTGTTTGTACATGTCGCACTGTCCTGTGTAATTAGGCAAGATTTTATATATGCAAAATAAATAATCACTTCATATAAATATGATGCATTTCTTAGTATAATAGCATAACAAGTAGTCAGAATTTGCTCTACCTCCCTATAGACCTGCTACAAAATGAAAAGGCTCCTTATACATTAATGCATCAGTAACAAATTAATAATATATATATAAATAAAACTGATACAAACTAGGGTTTGCCTTTTAACACCAAAGAACATTTTTTCTGATAATACTTTTGTGCTTTTACTTGAGTAATATTTGTAATATTTGATCATTTTAATATTTCACTTGTAACAGAGTATTTTTACACTGTAATATTGCTACTATTATCAGAGTAAAGCATCTGAATGCTTCCTCCACCAGAGGTGTTAATTGATATTTTCATTTAACTCTCGACAAGAGAGTGAATCAACATACTTCCCAAAATGTCAAACTAGAATGTTGAACCTTCAGGAAAGAGTAATTGACTTTAAACTGAGACAGATTGTACAATAGCACATATCAGCGTGCCTGTTCAGTCTTTTAATTGTGTTTTATTTGATATCTCACAAAAGTGACAATTTCCACAGCTTTATTTGTATGAGAATCATGTTAGACTACATGAGGGAGTCATACACCCTTTGTGGCAGTGATCTGCATTTTAACTCATAATAATAATAATAATGATAATATTGTGTGTCTGTTGTTTAACTTAAAGTAAAGATGTAGTATTAAAGTCTTGAGTATCTTTAGCTGAAAATATATGTTTTTCTTTTGGGGCTGTTTAGAATTTTCACGGTCATTAAACCTGTATTCAAAAAGTATGCAAATATCCTGTAACAAACAACTGTGTCTATCCGTCAGTGTACAACAGGACACCTGCACACATTCACCTCTTTCTCTTATCAAGTTCCATGCACAGACCTGTTTAATATTTTGGGTTTCATGTGCCACCTTGATCTCTCTAATCAGCTTTCATCGTCACACTTTCATCACTACAGTGCCCTGCCAAAATCTGTCACAGGAGGACAATCATGTTTTAGTCTGTACGAGAAAAAATAAATAAATTTCATTTTTTTCCTACTTAATAATATAAACAGCTGCATTGTCAGATTTTTCTGATTTTTGTTTTTGCTTTTTTGTCAATTTCAAGCAAACTGTTTCAAAGCCAGAGCAGCCTGATATAAAAGTATGAAATATTTATAAAATACAGATGAGAACCACAAAATTTATTTTAGTCCAGATCCTTCAGGGGCAATCCCTCGGCTATTCCCTGAAGCTCTAGTAAGGCTTGTAGCCGTGGATAAACAAGTTCAGTTTGCCCTCATTTTTGGGCCTTTTTATGTATTTATAGGCCACCGTAGACCACCATTGTAAACCCCAGTACATCCATGACAAAAAATTTTACTATTAAATCCACACAAATGTTCAGGACTGTTAAAATGACATAAAAACTTTATGTTTATGTGACACAAACACTCATCCCATGAGCCTGACATAAATAATTCAACAATTTCTTATTTTAGGCTGGACTGCAACAGCGGGGTCAGCCCTATAAACCTGAATGTCTGTGGCTGACTGACTGAGTGAGTCAGTGATAGAGTTGAATGATCAGGATACACCATTGGTCAGCAGAATGTCACGTTATTGAGTCATGAAGTTACACCATTGGCCATATGTTGGCGTTTCCCCATTGGCTGTTGCTCTTTCAAAATGAATTGGCACACATTCATGGTATTAGGGGGGGGTTTACAGCCTGCAGCTAGCTGTGGCCTGGCACCTAGCTGGAAACACAGAGATAGAAAACCTTAGTACAACATTTTGAATAAAATCACTAAATGTAATATTACAGCCAGGGTATAGTAAAAAAAAAAAAAAGAAGAAGGGTATTTTCAAAAAAGGAGTAATATAACATCTTTATGTTACTTATATATATGCAATATTAGCACTTTCCCAATAAAAAAAAAAATTGAAATAAATTTACCAAGATCTGTAGCACTCTTTTTTATGCAGGACCAAGCAACATCTAGAAGTGAAAATCTAATACTACACAGAATCAAACTTTGGTTGCAAAAAAGGGAAATATTATTTTTTTTAAAATTAAAGATTGTGCGTTCAGGAAATAAAACCATTAAGCAACAACTATTTACATGAATACATGTTTGCAAATTATCCTTAGGGTTTCTTGGATATTCAGTACAAATTTCATCATAGTCCAGTGCGAAATAAGTGATTGGTGAGGCTTGCAAAGACTCACAAAAATGATGAAATTTTGCTCTGAGGGCCAAACTTCAAAATTGATAACTAAAACATTATTTGAAGTAGAGCTATAGGGTTTTGCCAGGTCCCATGAATGAATTTAACAGAAGCTTCCATGATTTTTCTTTTCAAGAAAATCCAAGACAGTAAATTCTATTTTATTTATATAACGTCAAATCACAACGTTATCTCAAGGCACTTCAGGCAGAACAGGTCATTAACTTCAAGGTCTTAGGTGAGTTGTTATGGAATTAACTGATTTTTTTTTTTTTTTTTTTTTTTTGTCCTGTTCCTTTTTGTGTACTACCCTACATCACTAAGAAACTAGACTACTTCCCCACCTACTAAAAAACATCTTGGTGTACTATGTGTATGCATCAAACCAGCCAGATGATGAATCATTTAACTGAGCTCTGTGACCAGGTTTAATAGAGGTTTATGGGTTGCATGATAAGAGCTACAGTACATCTGGTATAGCTGATGCTTAAACAGAGACAAAAAAAACAAGCCAGTCTCTGTCAACAATGTTGTGTGTGTTGTAGAAATATTGTTTTAATTGTGTTTAGGGCCAATTGTGAATGTGAAAATGTATTGAATCAGTATTGCTATGTACTTTTTTGTGCCCTCTACAGGTGAATACTGTGCGGACAATTCCAGCTCTCTGCTGTCTACATCAAGCTCAAGTGCACTCCCAACCTCTCATTGACACACTCAAGTGGACAACAACAGGCACTTGCCATCAGAGATTACTAGGAAGCTCAAAAACAAAGAGCAGTCAACAGGATGTGAAAGACATGAACTGATTGACCTGATTGTAGGGGAGACCATTGAACCATCTGCCCTAGACCAGGGAAGAAACATCTTAGTGAAATTGCCAGGAAGATTATTTGAACCTATCCTCTGTCATGTTATTGAAGATAAAGTTGTAGGTAGTGGTTATGACTCTCTTACCAAGAAGCTGAAGAGTTGACAACATGATGAGGGGGAAACCTTAATTATCAAAGCAAAGCATCTAGATCCTGATCTTCCCTGGTTTCCTGTGCTGCTTTTGAACCATTTCAGTGAAGAGCAGGGCAAGTTGTTCCTGACAGCTGATGAAATGTGTCTGCCATCTGAAGTTGTTCAGCTTCTAAGCACACCATGCATCGTTGTGTTCACTGATTGCATAATTCGCCATGGGACTACCAGTAAAAATAAATAAACTAAATAAACCATGTGGACCAAATATTTTAACATTTCAAAACAGTATTACGTTTAATTTCATTAAGTATATTTTAGCATATTGAGTGGAAAATTAAGTTAAGGTCAAATTTGGATATGAGTGTTTTCTCCATATTGTGCAAACATGTAAGCCAATTAATGACAAAATATTTTTTACAGTAGTTGACTATGGCTTTTGATGGTCATGATGTTAGTTGATGATGATGCTGTTCTTTTTACTTTAATTGTGACTTTTTCCTCTGTTGTGTACCATCGGCAAGTCTCCCCTGACAGCTGGACACTTCATGATTGCAATAAACCAGACCATCAGGGATGTCAGTGTTCCCAATTTTGGCAAAGGCCTTGTGCTGATGTTTGCAACACACTACTGCCTCAACATCAGTTATCCACCAGAACTGGGAGCAACTCTGGAATTGTTGCTGAGGTAATGCTTTAACACTTGAAGTGTAATTATTTAGTCATTTTTAAACCTTAAACCAAAGAGTGGACTCTGGGCCATGTGAGAGCTTTTTTGTGCATGAACTAACTTTGAAAAGACCCACAGCTGTTCAGAAAACATTTATTAGCCAACAAAAATTTGGGCACCATGTGTTTTTTTTTCTCTGTATTTTTTAAGTTAATGACATAAAAGTAACTCCATTAACATTTAAGCAAAGGCTGATGTTTAATGTTTGTTTACTGCTGGGTTTGTATTTACTTCTTTTGGCTTCAAAAATCAATAAAATATGTAATTTGGCTGTATGTTGACTGTATGTGAATGTATTCATCTTTTATGTTCAAACCTCCATATCTGATCTTATAAGCACAACCCAATGGTGGAAGAGATGACATTAAATCAAAACAATAAAAATTAAATAAAGCTAAAAATAAGAAAGAAAATGAAGTGACAACAGTTAATGCTTTTTTGATTATGATTGGTTGTGGTTGTGTTTGGCAAAGATCACCTCATCCACGGCTATCCAAGAGCAGATGTGATCAATGAAGTGGCTTTATGGGCAGGTGGGAGCAGGAACAGTGCTCTCTGATATCTGCCCTGATGTCCTGCAGCTCTTCTGGACAAACCCCACATAGAGGGTCCATCACAGAGAGGGCCCATTGCCCACAGGCGCGCACAGAGCTCCCTTTCTTTAAGAAAAGGCAAAGGGGAATTCCTTATGTTGGATGCAGCAGTGATGAGAAGCCTTTTCATCCGGCTTTTTCTCAGTCTCCACTGGCTGAGTTAATTACAGGGCCCGGGGCTGCACTTTGAGCTCACTGCGCTCATGCAGGCTCTTGAGAAAAAGCCGCGTGTCTGATTCTCACGACACAGATAGAAACCACACACAAATACACGCAGCACGCGCGCACGCACGCACTCTCGCGCCCGTACGAGCAAGCGGAACCAGTCATCCAGCTGCTCGGCGACATTCCTGTCTGTCTGTCAACAACTTCAGCACACAGACACCACCAGCAGCAGCGAACGACACCGTGGGCGACGTGAGCTGGTTTTAAGGCATATCCCCCGTCAGACCAGCGGGACCTCTGCGAGGATGTGGAGCCTGCTTCCTCCTGACAGACCTCGCTCAAACTTTTGTCGCTAGACACAGCGCGGAGAGGAGGGGAGTTGGGCGCACGACCCGCCGCAGCCTGTGTGTCCGTCACCGGAGGCTATGATGGGCAGACTTTGACTTGATCCACTACGGCACAGAAACACCATGGCTGTGGACGGTAGGCAGCTTTCTGTTGTTTAAATTTCGTTGAATTCTTTGGAAGTTTTCTTTGAAATAGGATCAAACTTCAGCTGAAGCCATGAGTTCGTTAGATACACTCAATACTTGCGAGACCGGTTTGTCAGGTGTTTTAGGGGTCGCGTCTGGTTACAAAACGCCTGCTGTACTATCATCTCAGTATGAACATGGGGTAAAAACATGAGATCAACAGCTAAAAACGCCGCCAATGTCATTCTATCTCCCCAACACCATCCGGAATAAGATACAGTATGACGGAACAGTACGGCAACTTTTAATTCAGAGCTGTATGAGCGCCTGTAGGGACATTGTAGGAACACTATGGTGTTTTGAAGAAACAGCAGGGGGAGGCAGGGTGGTCTGCTGGTGGACAGTGAGCTGGTGCTGAAACGGACAGCTCACTGGAGGATGCCAGCATCACCACTTTGATGGTCTGACTGTTGTCCTCAGTTTTTTAGAGTTACTCTTCATCCACAAATTTCCCCTTACCAGTCCTGTAAATTTCTTTAAAGAAATTTTAGTATCTGGCATCTCAACCAGGTGAAGGTTGTTGCTTTTTGTGGCAGAAATCCTCCAACACTACCAACATAAGCTTTAATCTACAATTTAGATTGAACCAGTATATCAAGTGAAGCATATTGTTGGCAGGAGGCTCTTCAGAGCACATTTAGTAAGATTTTGGTTCATGAAAGTGTTTTCCTATGCAGTGCTGGCAGTATATGTCTTTGTTAATGAGGACTTTTTCCTCCCATAGATGTGCAAAACTAAAGGAGGTAAAAACTCAGTCTGACAAGTGGTCTTAATTAACCGTATTCAATCTCTGAAAGAGGCACATTTGTGTTTACAGCAGCAGCCTGGGGGAGTATTAACACTGTGAGAGGAGGGTTCACATGTGCACAGTCTTGAGGTTACACCTCAAAGACACAAAAAATTGCATATAGAGTTTTATTCATAATAATCCGATGCTGCTGGTTTGCCTTGATGATTGCGGGACTTGGCTTTGCTCCACTCTCAGCGGGAGATGATGAATGACAGAAAAAAAAGGCACAAAGCTAGAAAAACCAAAAGACACTCTTTCATCTCTTCAAACCCTCATCCCCCGTGTCAGCCTCTCATTCTGTCCTCTTTTCAAATTCTCTTAGTCAATTTAAGATATTGAACGTGCACGTTACGCACACACAAACACATCTGCAGAGCTTCAAACACAGCAAGAAAATCCTTCCAATCTGGCACATGAATCAGTAATGACCCATGGCTTTCTGCCAGAATCTGTGCCAGTAACAGTGTGTTTACTGTAGTTGCACACTTTCTTTAATTACTGGGTGTTGGGAAGCCACCTGCTGTTGAGTGGGCTTGGATGTCTGCCTACAGGCCTCTTCGTAATGATGAGAAAGTGGCTTGTCTAACAGCTCCAACATTCACCTACAAGGTCTGCACAAAGTAATAGTTACACCTGAACACTGACTTCCAGGAATCACCCAGGAGCTTGTCCAGGCTCAGATAACTTTGAACATTGCCTCATGCCTTCTCAGTTTAGTGTAGAGCAGGTATGAGCAGATACTTTATAATGAGATCATCCCAGAATGACAGGGTGTCTGGTTGGGTTCAACTCTAGCTTTTGTTTTCAAGTCACGCAGAGGGAAGGAGGTTTTTGCAGAGCAAATAAGTTTCATGCTGTTTCTACATGATCAGTGATTATAGTTAGGCCTGGTTGTTTAATCGTTGAACTTGATGCTTTTATCTCTCCAGCGGCATCCAGTTTCAGTTTCTGCAGGCCAGCTGTGGAGTACAGGGCTCTGCCTGAGGACTTCAAGCACCAGTTGAGTAGACGGACAGGTGGGAATCTAACCTGGCATGACGGGCGAGGACAGAAAACAGCGGGAGGCAGGACAGTGAAGCTGCTGCAGCAGCCGGGCACAGAGTCCCTGCAGGTACTGAACACCTGCATCACCTCAACATGTTCATCAGCACACCTGGTTCCTGGACTGATGTTGTATGATAACCCCCCAGGTTTTCTATCTTTTTTTTCTAGTAGAGAGCACTGTTCCTTTGTAATTAAGCATGATGGTGCTGTGCAAGAAGTAACAGCAGTGTTGCTTCAACTCAAACTGAATTAGAATCAATTTTAGCCGAGATTTCAGCATTCTGGGTCAAAACTGTAATTACCAACTGACGATGTTGGTACTGGTCATTTGATTGATCTGTGTGATGGGCAGTAAAAGTAGACTGTAATATAACTCATATTCTAACAGCCACACTAGCAGTTAACCAGCGGTGTAGCCAGTGTTGTAAGCTGATGCTTAGTCCCATCTTTCATTTTATTACCTCCTATGTTACTCCATAACATACAGAGTGGTGAGGTTACAGGACGACCATTTGCTGTGAGTTTTACTAGTCAGGTCAGACATTAACCATCAACACAACTGGACCCATGACCCAAAGAGAGACAGCTAATGCTAGCTAGACTAAATCACTAAAAGCATTTTCACATTGAGCCTTAAAAACAAGGGCCTTGCGCTCCATGCTTTGCGTTGGTTGGCACAGTATTTACCACTACAAAACTCCTGGTGGTGCTGTATTAAATGGTGCCACTTTAACTACAATGCTAACAGTAGATAACTAGTTTTTAGAGACTCAAGCAGTGTTCTTGTAGCAAGCCTGGTTGCTGTATCTGAACTCTGATATTTTGCCAAATTAATATCTATTTTGTCTTGTCTTGATATGTGGCCAATTTGTTATTGTGCAGTTCTGGAAATTCAGACACACAAGTCGGCTGATTAGTCCATCTTTCAGACCAAGAAGAGTTCAGCAGCCGTTGGCTGCGTACATAGTTCAGTGCAAATCAGGTCAAAGTTCATGAATCCCCCATTTGGCTCGGTGCACCGTGGACATCTGTGCGGAGACATTGCAATGCACCACATACACAGTAGTGAGGAGGTGCATGCAAAAGATCTTTTTCTGCAATTATGTGGAAAAAAATGCTAAAATATTCACAACAGTATCATCATTTACATTTCGATGCACGAAACCTGAGGGGAATTCAGATTTCAGTTTGGATTTAAACATCAGAATCACCAAGTACATGAATTCGGTTTGAATTAATCCTTACTTTGATTAATCCAAACTGGTTCCATCATTTGTAATAGATCATTAAAGATGCACGACAATAGCAAGAAATTGGTAGTGTTACGTTTCCTTTTCATTATCAGTCCCACTGCATTTCTACACACAAGTCATGCAGATACAAAACAAATCTAATGCCTACTTAAGAAGTCATTAAAACAAATCCTTTCCTTGTCGTCTTATCAACATGAGTATACATGCAAACGATCCTCACTGGCGTTCACTAACTTTTCTGACAGATTTCTGTACAGAAAAATCTAAAAGAAAAGATTCGTACTCTGACAAATGCGGCCAGTCACCATCCATTGTTGCAGATGGGCACTTTGTTAGCAGAGAATGGACACTGCTTTCTCCCCCAGCGGGTTTGTGGGCTCTAACATCCTTTTACCAGAGCTTTAAATAGCACAAGTCCTTCAACACTCGCGTTATGCTGCAGCACCACTGTGTTTGTTGACTGAGAGCAGAAAGAAATGGAATTTAATTTGATGGTATGCAGCCTGTGATTGTTGTTGCAGGTTAATAAACATTATGTGACGCCTTCTTTTATAGATCTTTTTATGTGAAGCATCGTCACATCCACTTCCAGTGGAGATTCTGTTCCAGTTTAAATGAAATCTTTTAGTTGATATTCACTTTGTTATCTGATACAGCATTGTGTGCTCGCACAGTCAGTGCCGTCAACGGAGACAATCCATTTGTGCTGTAAACTGGCCTCATTTAAAGCCCTTGGTTACAAGTCAGAGAGTCCACGCCTTTGTCTTCACTCCATGAAAGGCTCTTTAAAAGGCGGCTATGAGCTGAAGCTAAAGCTGCAAACATAGAACTGGACTGGGCTGATAACAGAGTTGTATACACTGCATTGTTTGTTCGCTTCAATCTTCTTGGATGCCCATAATGTAGTGGTCGGTTTATTTTTGTCTTGAAGAACACAAACTTAATCAGTGTTTGAAGAATGTGCTGCACTGGAACATGTGTAAAGTATTTTCAGTCCACAGTTCAGCGTTCTTTTCTCCTTCAATTAGTTGTATTCACTCTTTTTTTTCTACACGTTTTACTCTTATCCACGCGTCCAGTCTCTTCTCTTCTACAGTCCCACACTGTACATGAGAAAAAAAACAGTAAGCATTCATTATAATCCCTCTGTCATCTTTCTATCCCCATCATTTATCCCCCAGCTGCCACTGTAGACACTAAACAAGATTGAAAAAAGATTTGCAACTACTTTTTTGATTTTTGATTTTTCTGACATTGTAGCAGCCAAACAATTAATAACTTAATTTACAAAATAGTTGTGAGGCTAATTAATAATGAAAATAATTATTTGCGGCCTTCGTAGAAGTGGAGACATATGGGATGTTGGTGACAGTATTGCACTCTGAACACAGCCTCTTTGACGTGTTGAAAACGATCTATTATTGATGAATTTAGGAAAATCTTTGCTCCATATTAAACATGTCAGCAACACTACAACTACATTAAAATGACTTGGATTTGCTACTACACGGTATGAGAGGCGGCAGTCCTTTGTGTTATAATTCAGAATACATGTATCTACACAAAGACCCACTAATGGCCACAGTGCAAGATATTAGGAGTGAACCTATCACCAGTCAAGTTATAACTCTAAGTGCTACAAAAGTGAGGGTGTGAAGTGATAAATACTGTGTTCACAACAAACAAAGGGAGTGCATCACTGGGATGAAAGTAAAATGAAAGGAAATCTTGTGCTCTTCAAGTTTCGAGCAGGAAGTCTAAAGATAAAAAGCAAAAACTTACAAAGAATTGTACGACCATGGTAGATTGAAGGACAGCCAGGAGACAAGAAAGAAAAATACAGTTGATTCAACTTGGAAAGGAACCAACACTCTGTCACTCTGAATGGGTCTTTGTCAGATGGATCATTTGTAGGAATTATTCGTAGCAGAGGATCTGATGAATAAACATGTTAGATTGTAAGCCACGTAAGAATATACAGTTTTTTAGAAAAGAAGGAGAAAAGAAGATAATATAATTGTCCATCAATCCGGCATTTCTTTTTATCAGGGAAATGAGTTTTAGATATAAAGATATTTAATAGATTATGAACACAATTGGCATTAATTACAACTTATTATAATATATAATACACAGAATTTCAAAAGTAGCCTGAGAAGAGACTCTAAGCTGCATTAAAAATATACATATAAAAATCATATTTTAAGAACAAATATCTTTCTTAGCTGGAGCGTTTTCTGCATTGATTAAACGGTAACATGTCACTCTGCAGCAGATAGAGTTATCAGCAGACTCATATGTATTAGGCAGACTTCTAGCACAAATCTTCACTCTCTCTTAAATGTAAGCCAGCCCCTTTTTTTTTTTTTCTTTTTTTTGAGGCACCTCTTTCTCACATCTGAGAAATTCTGAGTTGGAGAAACGCTGAACCTGCTGAATTTTTAAAGCTGATTGACTGATCAAAGGCCCAGTTTGATTAGTCCTTCCACAATTTTACATCCTGCACATCTTTAAGATTAAAGAGCTGCATCTCAAGATCACACTGGCCTGCAGCTCCTCTGTCTGCCTTGTTGTAGGAGCTGCTGCTGCTGCTGCTGCTGCTGCATGTTCGCTAATCTTCCTTTACGCAGTGTTTGATCTGCGTGCACATATGGTCATGATCATCTCTGCGTGCTTTAATGAGTTTGAAACCTGTTCTTTCTCATGTATCTTGTCAGTTTCTCATGTATAGCAGGCCCATATTTGTTCATATTTCTGTAACTTAGCCTGTTTGTCTGGAAATATTTGATACTGAATTGTCAGCGTACGAGCTTCATAGAAGACTTGTAACTCAGCAGCAGCGTTCGCAGAGATCGCACATAACGTACACTGAAGAAAAAACATTTGTTTATTGATCTGATTATATATAGATGTGGGATTTTTAATGCCACAGTTCCAGCCAAGGTCAGGTTAAGGCTCAGGCATAGTAGTGGTATCAGTCTTATAATCAAACTCCTGGCAAGAAAGCGAATAATTACATTTCTCAAAAAGTCAAACTAGTTCTGTAATGCATATCAGTCTTCTCTGTATTTATCCGTATGTCTGTCTGGCTGCAGTACCGTTCAAGCGACAGCTATGGGATATATCACACCAGCCCGACACAGCCCAGCCTCATCCGCCCCGTCGTGCTCTGGTCACAACAAGATGTTTGTAAATGGCTGAAGAAACACTGTCCACACAACTACCTGACCTACGTGGAGGCGTTCTCCCACCACGCCATCACAGGTCCCACTGCTAAGATACCCAGAACACACGAGGATTCAAGAATTGCAATTCAAAGGTGAAACAGGATTTTTGATCCCTCTGCTTTCACCTCACAGGCCGTGCACTGCTGCGTCTCAATGGGGAGAAGCTGGAGAGGATGGGATTAGTGCAAGAGACACTTCGACAGGAGCTGCTGCAACAGGTGCTGCAGCTTCAGGTGCAGGAGGAGGGACGCAACCTGCAGCTGCTCAGCAGAGGTGAGGGCGTGTGTGTTTTTAGTTTTTACCTCTCCATTTGCAAACATTGCCTAGAGAAGAATCCTTCAACATTTTGTGAAATATACTTATTCACCTTCTGGCTTAGAGTTAAATGTGAAGATTGATACCAGTCTCATGTCTGTATGGTAAACATGGAGCTTCAGACTGGAAACAGGGGAAACAGCTCGTCTGAAAAAAAAACTACATTAAAGCTCACTAATTAAGATGTTTTATCTTTGTTTGTTTAACTTTGTTTTATGGGTGGTTATTTCTGGGACTATTTCTTGGCTCGGACCAGGAACTTCCTGGGGTCTCCGTTGGTTGCCTAGTAACTGCTCTGAGTCAAAAATTCTCCTGACATATAACCCCCTGTAAAACTGCAAAAATCCAAATTAAAAATTGAAAGATCATACCAGCCTTGGAACAGAGCCTTTCTCAACATGTCATGGTTTGTGTCATATGTTTAGATAACATACAGTATATTGTTTTTTATTCATCATTTATGTTTTCTAAAGGTCTTTAGAATAGAATAGAATAGAATAGAAGAGAATAGAAGAGAATAGAAGAGAATGTGGAAAATAACCCTCAGGAGCTTAATTTATTCAGAAAGACAGAAGAAAGAAATCCTGAATGACAGTTACAGAAGTTGGTTGAACAGAAGCTAGTCTGGATGAAACATTACGACTTCAGCTCTTGACAACATGTTGATTGGTGAGCTTTAGGGGAGCTGGTAGACGCATATTTTTATTTTTGCACAAAGCTAGGCTAGCTGCTTCCAGACAGACACAAGAGTGCTTATTGATCCTCTCATCTGACTGTCTGCCAGAAAACCAATAAGCATATTTCCCCAAAATGCTGAACTTTTGTATTCATCTTTCTCTCTTTTGCAGGTTCCTTTGGAAAGGTGTCATAGCCAGATTGCTGAAAGAAGCCTGTGGACGCTGTGGAATCATGGAATATATGATCAAAAAAACTCAAATATGTGAATCAGATCTGTGGAAAAAAAAAATGCATCCAATGAAGAGTGATATCATGAATTGTGATATTAAACTAAAGTTGGCAGCTTTTCATTCCCCATCTGCACGATGAACAGACACAATCTTCATGGACTGACTATGAACTGTGATGAAAAAGCACCATGACAATCTGTTTTGTCATTCTCTTGCTCTGTTGTGTGATCGATTACAATAACTATTCCTCTGTTACTGCCTCTGCCTTGTTCTCTCTGTCTCTCTCTCTGAAACTTTTTTAAATGTCAGAAAAAAAGAACAAATAAATAAAAACATCATTGCCTTTATTTTTTTTATTTATTTATTTTTTTGCAAATGTCCACCTAAAGGTCAGAAATGTGTGCATTACCCTTGAAAGAGCAGCTGTGTTGAAGCACGTGATGATAAACTACATTACCCACAATCCCACCGCACGGTTGAGACGGAATCCATCCATGGCTTTAACCAGCCGATGCCGGCTCCGAGGTCGCAAGATCCCCATGGAGACGGAGTGCGGGAAAATAATGTCGTCCCGCTCGGACAGGTACATGAAACTGAGTGTTCAATTCTCTAAACAGAAATAATTTGTGATTTTTTAAAAAAAATTTTTAGTCTGCAGCAGCGTGTTGGGTCCTGTAATGTAGCGCTAACCACACTGACTCCCCCTCCTCCTCTATACAGAGCAAAGATATCCGACGTGTTTCGTCTCTAACGTTAATACTATTCATTTAAATCCCCTCTCTGTTAGTATGTTTTCATTAATTATACGATAAAGTGACTGGATGGTGAATGTAGATGCATAAAATGCGTTAAAACACGAAGCTTTCCAGGAGTAGGCGAGCTTGTGCGTCACAGGCTCCCTAATGAGAAACCACTAGAATATCCCTGTAATAAATCTTACAGTATTTTCAGTTTTTAGTCTGTAGTATTCATTGTTGTGATCAGAGACCATGGAGATTTTTAGGGGATTTTGTCCATTTTATACAGTCTATACTTTGAATTATACTTAATTATTTAATTATACTTTAAATTTGAAATAATTTAAAAATGTGTAAAAATTGGATTTCTCAATCTTTAATCTTCTCTTGATATTTCCCAGGCTGTCTGAGCAGTGGTGAAATGTACATTTATACAAGTACAGTGGTGGAAGAAGTATTTAAACCAATTACTTCATACTACATTATAAAAACACTCCATTCCAAGTAAATGGGTTAAATTCAAAATGTTATAGTAAAAGTACATAGTATTTGCAACAAAATATACTAAAAGTATCAAAATAAAAAATACTTTTTATGCAGCAGAATGACCAATGTTATCAATGTTAATAATCCAGGATTATTATATTATCAGATCATTATTGATGCATTAATATGAAGGCAGTGCTTTCCTGGTGCCGTTTGTTGAGGTGGGGCTACATTTGACTTATTTATTTAATGTTAGCTGGTTAAATCTATCATAAAGTATCATAAAATGATCATAAGTTTTGTATGTAACATCTTAATCTGCCAGGTAACTGTAGCTGTCAATTAAATGTAATGATATTTCTCTCTGAAATTTCAAAACTGTACTTAAGTAAGGAATTGATGTCTGAGTGGGGTCTGCAAATGTCTTAAATCCAAACGTTTATAATAAAATAACACAGAGTAAAGTAGAGCATCATTTAATTTGAGAAGCCTGAATTAGGGACTGTTTTCATTGACAGTTATCAAGATAGTTCCTGATTTATTTTTTTGTCCATCGTTTCAGCTCTAGATTAAACCATCAGACAGCACATCGCTTTGTCAGAATTAGAAAAACTTTTACTTGGGTAAAGTTTTGAATGCAGAACTTTTACTTATAATGGATTTTTATAATGAGGTTCTGCTACTTTTTTCTTTATCCAAGCTGAGAGTCTAAGATTAGAGGGTGTTGTATGTTGTACAGATTGTAAAGCCATTTTAGGCGAGTTTGAGACTTGAATCCTATAAAAATAAATTTGACTTCACTTCTGTTGACTAGAAGAAAAGAATTGCGCTACAATCAATGTTAAGAACTGCAGTTTCACTCAGCTCAGACAAGTTAAGAAAAGGCAGCTTCCAGACCAGGAACAGATACAGCTTACTAAATCTGAAATGATTAGTCGATTAATTGATATGTCTATCAAGAGAAAAAGAATCGTCCACTATTTAACTAAAGGATAATAGTTTAAATCTTTTTTTTTTCATGGAACGATGCTCGACATTATGTGATTCCAGCTTTTCTGTTTTATATCATTGTAAACGGAACAACAAGTTAAAACAAGACACCTGAAGGCTTCATCTTGGCTTCTGCGAAACTTTGATGGGCATTTTTCACAATTGTCCCAGGTGTATTCCCTGTCAGGACATGAGTATAGGCCTATATTGTAGTGTGTATGTCTGTGTGGTGTTTTAGTGTTGTCATGACTCTGCTGGATCACATTCAGTGAACTGAGAGGAAGGATCAGCAAAAGACATCCGTCCTGTACTCGCTCACAGGAGCATCTATTAATACCAGCCAAGCGGCTCTTTGCTGTCAGTGTTACAGTGATCCTCTTAGTGTCTGTCCCACACACACACACACACACACACACACAATCACAGAATGAGGGGGACGGAGAGAAAGGAGGACACATGATCAGTAGCATGGAGAGATGAGAGGAGGTCAGGTTTGTTTTGACTGTTAGGGCTCCACAGATACAGATGGAGTGAAAGCACAAACGGCTGTAATTTGCACACACGTTTACGACTTCGGCCGGCGTTACTACGTTGAGGGCTGTTGTTTTGGCGAGGTTGCCACGGTGACAGACGAGCTGGAGGGTAGAAGGTTGTCGTCTGAAGCAGACATGACTATGCTGGACTGTACAGGAGCCAGGATCTCTGGCTGTTGGTCCCTGAGGTCTGACCGCAGGTAAGATGTGCCTGTGTGCGCTGCTGTTTTCTCTCAGTGCAGGCGGGATGCCAGTGTTCCCCTCACAAAGTTCTCATACACACCGCGGATGTGTGTTTGTGTGTGTGTGTGAGCCATAAATAGTCTCTAAACAGGGTTTGTTGAGAGGTCAGAGGAAGTGCAGGATCTAGGTTAGTTTGCAGGGGTTTTGGTGTGTTTTGTTTGTGCTCAGTCTCGGAGGGCTGCCTGCAGTGTATCATTACTGAACAAGCACTTGAAACTGCATCAGCTGAATATGCAACAAACATTCATTAGTCCTCTCTTCCATTTATGCTTTGTCCCGTTTTGTGTGCATGTATGTAGTTGTGTCTCGTGTGAAACGAGCAGAGAGACTAATTCAATTTCTAATTGCTGCCAGTGGAAATGCAGGAGTCACTCAATGTGTCCTCAGAGAGTGTGACGCAAGAGCTAAGCTGACTTTAGTGTGTTACATAGTAAACAGGGGTGTGAGAGTCTAATCTCAATTACAGTGATCTAAGTAATCTAAGGTTAGAATATCATACAGCAGCATTAACACAGTGCAGGCAGTGGTTAAAGAGGTACTCAGATTGTTTACTTTAGTAAAAGTACTAATACTTTGACTTAAAAGAATACTTCATTACAAGTAAAATAAATTCAATGAAAATCTTACATTGCTTGGCCCCACTTGTCCCTGTGGAGGGAAAGGTCACTGCAAGTCAATATAAAGTTTGGGAATTTTTTGCTATGGCCGTCACAGTCACCGGACCTCAACCCTATGGGAGACTTTGACACCCAACATGTTAGACATCGCTCAATATCACCGTTATCAAAACACCAAGTGAGGGAAAAGCTTTTGGAAGAATGATGTTTCATCCCTCCAGTAGAGTTCATAGACTTGTTCAATCAATACCAAGGCACACTGAAGCACTGAAGCCCAATCAAACAGTATTCCCTATGTTTTGGATGTAAAATCTTAATTAGTAACTGCAGCTGTCAGATTGACTCAAGTAAACTACAAGTACCTCAGATTTGTACAGGAAAATACTTCAGTAAATTAATTCCACCACTACATCCGGCTTCCTTTACAAACCAGTAAAAACAGTAGAAACCATCAAGTAGTTAGTTTTATTCCTGAGCAGCTGGGTTTGACTTCACAGCAGGTTTAGCAGCTCAACAGTCACACACAACTTTGCGTTTGTGTAACTGGACAAAAATGTTTCCCTGTTGCTCTGCAGGTTTAAGGCTGAAGTTGCATCTCAACAGATTGTTTAGCTGTTTACTGCAGTGCTGTTTGAAATATGTTGCATCTTTTTCCTCTGAATACATTTATTTTCTTGCTTAAATGTCCTTTTCATTTATACACACATATGAAATATAAGAAGAATATATGATTCCACTACACCAAGCTGCTCTGTTTTCATACACTTTGGCTGCGTCGAGGAGCTCGGTGAGAGACTCCTCTGTGTGTTCAGGCTGTAACCTGTCCTGCTGTTTGCTGTTTTGCAGTGGGAGTGGGGAGGACTCGTTGGACCGGCTGCTGCCCCCCTCCGGGGCCCCTCGCAGGAAGAGCACTACCTTGCTGAGTAAAACTGAGCCTCCTCTGCTCCGCACAGGCACACGCACCATCTACACCGCTGGCCGACCTCCCTGGTATGACGAGCACGGAGCTCAGTCAAAAGAGGCCTTTGTCATCGGTACGACAGATGATGATGATGTTTTTACTTTCTTCTTTCACTACCTTCATGTAGAGTTGTGGCTCTGAGCTGCAGAGCCTGTTCTTGTGTCCCACTCTGTCTTATTATACCCATAAACACTTTACTGCGATTGCACATGCATACCGCCAGACAACATTAGACACACTCTGAAAAACAAACATAATGGGCCTTTGAAATGTGTGGCTCTGTGTGTGGATCTGCAGGGTTGTGTGGGGGCAGCGCCTCAGGGAAGACCACCGTGGCCAATAAGATCATTGAGGCTCTGGATGTGCCGTGGGTTGTGCTGTTGTCTATGGATTCTTTCTACAAGGTGAGAGTCATGCGTTTTAGTCTTTTTTTTTTTTTTTTTTTGTCTTATTTTATTTGATTCTTACCAATTATCTGTGGCCTCATTGTAGGAATATATGATCATTTTTGGGTCGAATGATTTGTTGATTTGAAAAGCAGGATTTCAATTAATGACAGAACCTCAAAGCAATCGTTACACTCCTGTCACAGGGCTGAGTTAATACGCGGCTATGGTAACACTTTAGATTACAGCCTGCAAATTACAGTGTGAATGTTTGGTGTATATAGGATATACCTCCTACAGTGTGCACCTACAGACATGTATAAGGAGGTAACAAATATGTATTCAGGACG